GACCCTGGAAATGCTTTGCGCATCATCTGCAATGCCGATAGTTTCTAACTTCCACATAAAGGAAGGTTCCATGTCTTGAATAAGAAGATTAGTTACTAACATAGATGGAGGTACCCTCAAAACTTTGGATAATCGTTCCTTTTCGATTCCCGGCACAGCGTCCATCCCAGTTTAGTATTTATGGCTGTCAAACCACCCTCAAGCTGAATTACTTCACCAGTAAGTATTTGCCCATAAATATCACTCCCTATGAGGATTTCTATTTCCGGGTGACCCTCACCGACATCTGAAATCCAAATTCTGTGTCTTTTTAATTCCTTCAATAACGGTCCTTTAGGTATGCGTTGGTATGCCTCCACAAATGGTATTTTGATCCAGAAAACTAAATTGGTACACTTTTCGTTTTTTCCCAACCGGGCTTAGACCTATAGAATATCTCTTGTGAATTTTTGACTCAGTCCTTGTTCCGCCAAATAACGCGTGAGTTAAAGTTTCAGAGGAAGTGCTTTTCAGATTTAAAGCTTCAACTGTGGATTGTAAAACGTAAGATCGTTGGGATCCACAATCCAAGAGGCACCTGACCACCTTCTTTACAGTGCCTACAACTATTCAACCTATTAAAGTCATAAGAGTGACTTCATTCATACATAAGGGAGAGGATATTGTACTTTGTACCATTACTGACTCGTTTTCGTTTTTCCTTATTGTCAGCATTGTTTCTGATACCTCCGGGCATAAAATTATACGGTGAGATCGCCTACACAAATAGCATTGAATAAACTGTGGACACTGCTTCGCAAAATGGCCCTGGTTTTAAGACAGCGGAGGCAGCAGTTTTAATTCTTCTTAATTTGTCTAATCTTTCCTTTAAGCACATCGATCGAGCTGTAAAACATTCTTTGCTTTCGTGAGATTTTCCGCAAAAAAACAAAAATACATTTTTGTTCTTTGACAGCAACTAGACTTGCTGCGCTAGCGATTGGTTTTTTGGTCTTAACTTTTACATCTTTAGAATGTTCATTGCGCGAAGTAGAAGAAATTTCAAATCCAGACCTAGGCTAGTTTAACTCTCTGCTCTCCTTCGACCTCTTTACGCAAAATTTCAGGAGATTTGTGAGATGAGACGTGATCCTTCGTTTACTGAACAAAACGCTTCTCTGCCATACTCGAAGCATCTCAGCAGACAGACAAGACTCGACCATGGGATATAACCAGGAAACATGAGTATCCAGGGCTAAGCCTAAAGACTCTAGAGATCTTAGATGGGATTCGATTTTGTCAAACAGTGACACTAGCGGCAAACCGATCCTTCCCCGTTATGAGCGTACATTTTGGATAATTAATTTTAACAATTCCCTCACATATATCTCAGTTAAAATTTCCTTGTTTCCAAAACGCTCCTCAAACGCAGAAATAGCTTTCGGGTAATTTTCAGCCGTTAAAGGATAACTATCTATCAACTCACTAGCCCGAGTTCCGGGTAACATTGATTGAGCTAAATAATGGAATTTGTCAACGTCATTAAGCTCCTTATCCTCATGGATCTTTTTTAATTGACCCCAAAATGTAAGGTAGCTTAATAATTGTCCATCGAGTTTTTTAATTTCAATTTTCGGCAACTTGTACCGTTTTTCATTAGAAGCACTTATGCTACTATCCGTGTTAGAACTCGTATTGACACTACGGTCAACCGCATTATCTATATTCTCTTTCACCCGACGATTAAGTGTGATAAACTCATCTGAATATTCTTCGCAGCCTATGACCTCTGTTTCCCGATCATCTTCAGCGGCTTTTTCCTTAATCATTGAATCTAGTATTTCTGAATCGCAAGATCTCAACTCAGCAATTATCATCTGCAACTTCAAAATTTTGTCTTTCAATACATCTCTATCCGCTTGAACATCTTTACAAAGTTTGGTTTTTAGAATCTTAGCCTTCCTAGTAAAGGCACTGCGTGCCGTTGCACGCTTTTTCTTCAACATATCAACATCCATTTTTATCTTTAAATGCAGACCCACTTAAAACTCAAAAATCTGTAATGTTATCATCAATCCGATAAATCCAGAAAAACGTCTTTACTCAGCAATTCCAAAAATATAACTCAATATAATAAAAATGAATAACAATATGTCATAACATTCATAATACAGCAAAACTAAATTATTTTGAATATCACAGTAGAAGATTTAACGCATAACCTTTTCTACGTTTACACTGCAGACGATTTAGTGCATAGCATTTCAATTGAAAATTGAAACTAATTCGAATACAAATACGAAATTCAACATTGCAGACGATAAAACGCATTACGTTTCCAAATAACACTTAAATTAATATTTACTTCTACAATAATATAATATAGCAAACACAATACTTTCTCAACTATATTAATATAATAATCCCAACACATTCGAATCAGGATCGCAATCCTGGCTGGCTCGCCATTTTGTTATGTCTTGGAGCAAAAACAAATTTACTTTACACCTGACTGCCACTGGCTCCGACATAGCAATGTGAATACTCTACATCTAAAATTTTAAAACACCATTCCAGAATTTTAAATGTTTATTTAATAGAATTCTATTCATATATTTACAAGTTATACACTATAAATACAATAAACAAAATTTGAACTTATCTGCACCAGCGTGAATAAGCCTGGCATAATATTCTGAACTCGACGCAACTTTGGCAGGAAAAATACCGCAAATTCAAACACAAGGTTTCATCCTTTCCAACGCAGCTAATTTTCTCAATATATTTTACTAATATCCGCAACGAGGCAGCGGATTCATTTCATTCGCCCAAAACTGAAATGTTTTAACGCAATAGTATCGCAAAGGAAACATCGACTCAAAATCAAAATTTTAAAATCTGTAGAATATCATCCGCTGTTGCCATTCCAGCACTGCCAAGTTTTTCTTCCTGCAGCTGTTGCCAGACTTATCCTCGCTGTATGATGAGAGGTACAACAACTGTCAATTAACAATAACCAAATTAAGTGACAGCGTTTTGTCTTTTTTCCAAATAAGGATCAAATTAGTTATTTTGTTAGAATTAAATCATAAGGTACGAGCAAAATTCAAAAATGAGAAAGATAATAAGTCTGATTGAGCCAAAATGCTTGCCAAAAACAAAACCGAAGGTAAAAATGAGTAAGTGATTTTTTTAATTTGAGTTACTTGTCAAGAACTGAATTAAGTGAGATCCTCACTTTAGAAAAAATATTCCCCGACACTCTCACAGTATAGTTAAAAGAATAAAAAAAACTATTGAGACCTGTGCAAATTAATATAAAATAAATGAAATAGGAACAAAGGAAGATATTTGTAAACAGTAGAAATATGTACAAATTAATATTTTCTTTTAGATTTAAAAGCAAAACCAAAAGTAGGTATTTAAATACAAATCTAGGTACAAACCGATTCCTGAAAGGAAATTAAAAGTAACTTACTTGTTTCAAAAATTTTAAACGAAATCGTTGTAAATGTAAATATACTCAGTGATGGAATGTAATAGCGTTGTCTTATTTAGTGAGAGAAGGTAGCAGTCATATATATATATATATATATATATTCTGAACGTAAGTTTCTGAAAGGTTTAGCTTATATTCTATGCAACAAGTTGCGGATTCTTCTTCAATCATCAGCAATGTTTCCCTTATCATCTACTAATCAAAGTTGTTCATTTCATCGTAACAAAAATTATACACTAACAGATACTTTAGGAATGCCGAAATTAGGCATGTTTAGGGGTATTCGATTATTTTAGACAGCGTAGAAAACTGAAGAAAAAATAACTGGCTTCGGTAACTTAGCTGGTACAGAATTTAAGAATTATGATTTCCATCCTCTTTCGAAATTAATTCTACAAAACGTGTTCTCTTACTTGAGCTCTAACAATCTAACAAATTATCAAAAAGTTAGCCTCCAAGTCCTTTAGAAAGAGGTTTATTAAGAGATCTAAAATATCATTTTATCTGCCTAAATATGTTTGTTGAATAATTTTGTTGAAATATAAGCAGATGACGGAAGACGGAGAGAACTGTCGTCTTACAGAGGTAAGCAGGTGCGTTAAAATATAAGCATAGTTCAGCAATGGAAACCTATAGTGAAAAATAAGTTATATTTACCAGCATTAGAAATTTTCTGTGGCTCACCATAGATAGAGCCATAAATTTTCTGAACATTTGTAGTTCGGATCGGGCACAAACCCCAGGGAAACGGTCTGACTGCATGGGTGTTTTCATGGTTTTCCCCATGTCTAATGTGCATGGAACCAGGTTTCTCATGAATGTCGTCCATGTAGACATAGCTCCCACTAGACATTCCCCTCGTTCCTTCCTTCGCGTACTTTGCAATAATCTAACCTAACCTAGAAGCGCAAAACATTGTCGCAATGCTTGTATTTTACGATGGAAAGTGTTGCTAATCTGTGGATCCTTGTTATCGAATTCAACTACCAATCATTAGTAGCATTACTGTTTGAAGAGATTTTACTGAAGTCAAATATTATTTCTGGTCATTTTCACAGGACTCTTTTTTTTTTCTTATAGTAGCTAAAAAGAAAAGTAAAAAATTACAAATAAAGAAATAAAATTAGAGCGCACGAAATGAGCTCGATATTATCATTCTTCCCTTTTCATCTGGTAAAAAAAAAAAAAAAAAAAAAAAAAAAAATTTAGTCTGAGTTGGCACTTTTCTACCAGAATTATGCAACGATCCGCGGAGCTTAAACAATTAAGATAACAGACATTTTTAATCAAAGTTAAGCTTTACTATGATTTCCATTGCCTCATATTTGAAACATGGCCATTGACAGCAGATTATGTAAATAATAACTGATGAAATATTCTTAGAAGGCGTAACTTCAAATCAAAGTTCAGAAAAGTATATTATCTTTAATTTGTTCATTTTGTTACTACAGAAAACAAATTGAATAAATTCTTTGGAGCAAAAGACTATTTTTAACTCAATTATTTTTTTTTACTATTTCAGACCTTCTTCATCATGTACATGGCATTAGTAGCTCTGCTATTAATTAATATGCTAATCGCTATGATGGGAAAAACTTATCAAGATATTGCAGAGCGAAAAAATGAATGGATGAGACAGGTACTTGTTTTAACATCTCATATTTTTAAAAAGCTTCTTAAAATTTTGGTTTAAAATGCAATTAATGTAGGGGAAAATTCAAATTTGTGACTTGGGAAGACTTATCAGTAATATACGACTACCTATTTCTTTTATGAGATATCGATTTCCTATCTGTACTAAAGTGACAAGCTGGTAATTTACTGGCTGGAGAGCATTTTGGTAATTGGACTTTTTTGGCCAGATTGTAATGTTTTCCTGACAAAAAATAAACGTCGTTATAAATATCAAACTATGTATCTTAATATTTTATTTGCTACCGATTGTATTAAATAACAATACTAAGGCTATTTACAACTCAAAATCCACTGCAAGGTTTTGACCAAATTTCAGTACATATTGCTTACTGTGCAATTTAAATTAAATATACTAAGAGTATAAAATTAAACAGTCAAAGCTAATTAAGCTGTTAAGTCGATTGTCGTTTAATTGATTCTCTAACTATTTCAAGCTCTCCAAATTAGTATTAAGTTCAATAGATACCCTTTCCAGGCTATAATTATCTCGATTTAAATAAATACTTCCTTTTGTGTGCGAACAGTCGAAACGATACAAACATTTTCGTCGAGAGAATTATCTTGGAAGGATGTTTGATTTGATCAGCCCTTTTCAAATTGTCTTAATTAAATGCCTTATTTGTTTTCTTATATACGCGATAGATTTGTATCTTCTGGAATAATGTGAGTTAAAATAAAAAGCAACGGAAAAACTAAAACTGATTTGTTAAACTAAATCTTCGTAAAGTAATTCATAAATGATAACTCGAGGGAAATATTGACAAATTGTAGAGTTCCTCACTTTGTAAATGCTAATTTACAGTTGAACGTGAAGAATCTTAAGAACTAGTAAGCGAATAATCGCTTGAGTTCGTGTGACAAGAAACAGCAAGATGGAAGGGTAACTAACCCTTTATTATTCAAATAAGATTTAACAGAACTCCGTCTTGGAGTGTAAAATAAAAGCCGACATTTGAGCTTGAACTTAAAAGGCTAAGAAATGAAACTAAACTAATCTAAACTAAAGAGATATAGCCGAAGCTATCAAGATTCTAACTGAGTTGGCCCCTTAACGCTAATTGACTGCAAAGCTATCAAGGGCCTGAGTACGCCCGAGCGTAATAACAGCTTTGCGAGAGAGCAGCCAAAAAGGCTGACGCGCGCAAATCAGAAACTCTGATTCTGTCTAACTCAGCAAGTAGAACTTCGCGGTTAAATATTGCTCTTCCTCATTATGTATACAGGCGTGATACTAAAACTACGTTCTGGCCGGAAGTAGCAAGCTGAAGTTAAGAATTTGACAGGAAAGGAACTTTAACTCAAAATTTAACTGTTAATAAAATTAACATACGTAGCGAAGCGGTATCTTAACTTTAAATTAATAAACCTAAGAATACATCACTGCGAGTGGACTGTAAATTAACCTTTATTCGGCGGTTTGAACTTTCGAACACAAGACAGCGCAAAAGTAAAACGGCAGAGTTACAATTAGCGGTTTTAAGAATGCAAGAACAAAATGCGAGCTGCGCATACAATCTGCGCATTGCAAAATAATATCCCACAGACAGGCAGAGAGCTCTGGTGGCCGAAACATTCCGCCCGGCGTTGAAACATCGTTTCAAACTAAATAGCTTTTACAAAATGAAATTATCATAACAATATTAAATTATGCAAAAATGTATCATTAAAATATTCACAAGAAAACATAATATGAAATTATACGATGAAACTAAATTGTTCTCAAAACAGATGCACAGAAGCCTTGATACAATTCAGGAACTTAATCATAGTTAAATCAAAGTACAAAGTTATAATGCTTTAGGGAAAAAAAACTTAATCATTGATTGGCAAAACACTAAGTTTGTGAATTGGCCTTTTGAAAACTCCGTTAGCAGTTTTGATCTTCACGATACGCACATATTATCTGAGCTAGGAAAAACTTCCAGCACTCTTCCTAATTTCCATCGTAGCGGGGTAAATTGGGCTTCCTTAAATGATAACTAAATCATTACCTTTAAATTAGGTTGCACTTTCAAACCATTTTGAACGTCGTTTGCAAATTAGAAATGTATTCATTGGACCATCTTTTCCAAAAGCTTTGAAACATCTTTCTCAACAAGCTTCCCAACATTGCAATATAGGGATTTTTTTCATCATGTAAACTTTCTTCTGGTAAGGCAGTTTGGCGGGGTACCAATTAATAAAATGGCCTGGCGTTAGTGCAGAGAATTCAGATGGATCTTCAGACATTGGACGCAAAGGTTGGAATTTAAACAAGCTTCCAATTTGAGCTAACAATGTCGTAAATTCTTGCGTTGCGTCCTATGAAGTTGTTCACCTATGGGTTCTCTTGAGATGTAACTTTGTAGATTTGACTGCAGCTTCCCATAATCCTTACGAAATGTGGCGCTGCGGGAGTATTAAATGTCCACTTAGTACCTTCAGTAGAGCAATATTTATTAACCAATTCATTTTCATTCAAAAAATTTATTACTCTTTTTAATTCCTTATCTGCAGCAATCAAAATCGTGTCACAATCGCTATGCACTTCTATTGGTTTTCCTCTTCGGGATAGAAAGCGCTTCAAAGCGGCAATAAATGATTCTGATGTTAGATTTCCTACTAATTCAATATGTATAGCTCTTGTAGTAAAACACACGAATACACAAATGTAGCATTTCATTGGTTTTAATCCTTCGATCCTTGCCTGGGCTTCACTTGAAATGGCTTGGCGTAGTCATTTCCAACTTTAGAGGAAAGCCTTTGACGGAACGACTCTAGGCGAAGGTAAATCAGACATTATCTGGGTAGATGTTTTAGCTCGTACACGATGACATTTCACACATTTCCAAATCTTGTTGTCTTGTATAACTGATCTAGCGTGAATTATCCAATATTCTCTTATAATTACTGATAGCAATAGCAGGGGGCCAGCATGAAAGATGAGATTCATGAAAATGATTCACTATAATCTGTGTTATGTGATGTTTCTTGGGCAAAAAATAGGATATTTTCTGTCCTGCGCGATGTTGGGCTTTCTTAATCATTCCTCCGACGCGTATAAGTTCCATTCTTATCGATAAAGGGGTTCAAAGAAAAGGATCTTTACTATTTGAGTTTAACGGTTTGATTCTTCTTTCAGAAGATTATATTCATTAAAAAACTCATCTCCTTGAACTACTCTAACAATTGCATTTCTAGCGTATTGCAATTCTTCGGTGTTTAAGGTAACCCTTTAATCCTTGTTGCGGTAGATTTAGCTTGAATTATTCGCAAACCGAAAAACACCATGCGATGATTATTTTAAGTTTCAAGAATGATGAAACTTCATTAAGGACTGGAATTTGCGAAGCGACTGTTCCAATTGAACAAGAAATATTTTTCTGTTGTTCCCTTAAAGACTCTTCTGAAAATGGTAAATTGATAGAGAACGGAATATTATTTGAATTAAGCCACTGAGGACCTGTCCACCACAAGCCATGAGTAGAAAGCTCTGAAGGCAAAAGACCTCTTGATGCGCAATCAGCTGGATTTTCCTTTCCTTTTATGTGATTCCAATGCGATGAAGGTAAGACTGATTGAATTTCTGAAACGCGGTTGGCTACGAAGGTTTGCCAGCGTGTTGGTTCTGATTGTATCCAGGACAAAACTATCATTGAATCACTCCATGCGTAAATATCGTCAACAGAATTTGCAATGAATTCTGCACAGCTTGAACCAAATGCACTAATAGAACTGCAGAGCAGAGTTCTAAACGAGGAATAGATATTACTTTCAGGGGAGCTACGCGAGTTTTTGATGTTAGTAGCTGCACCGAAACTGAAGAATTGTTTGAAGACTTTAAATAAATCACTGCGGCGTAAGCTTTCTCTGATGCGTCACAGAAACAATGAAGTTCTACATTTGTAGATTTGGGCAATAATACTCTCCTAAGAATATGAATGCATTTAAGACTTGCGATATCTTCACAATAGATTTTCCATCTTTGATTGATTTCATCTGGCAAGGGATCATCCCACGAAATTTGTAATTTCCATATATCTTGAAGCAAGATTTTTGCTGCAACTATAAAAGGTGCTAACCAACCAAGTGGATCAAAGATTTTCGAAATAGAAGATAAAATTATTCTTTTAGAAGAACACTCTCTGTTTTCGAGATTTCCAAAGTGACAAGTAAACTCGTCTTGCGTTGGATACCACTCCAAACCCAATAATTTTATTGATTTAGTATCAACTACTGTACATGAAGAATTTGAGTTCTGAGCACTCAAAGCAGTTTCCAAAATTGAGCGATTATTTGTACACCATTTATGCAGTTGAAAGCCACCTTTCTGTAAAAGTTCACTCAGTTGTGAAATTAACTCTACCGCGTCCTCTACTGTGTCTGAACCAAATAGGACATCATCAATATAACAATCGTGTAATATTATTTTAGCTGCCTTTGGGAATTTAGTTCCTTCGTCAATTGTTAGTTGTTTTAGTACGCGAGTAGCCGGTATGAAGCGAAAGTGCGTACGAACTGTGCACAACCTGTAAGTTTTAATCGGCTTCGATGGATCATCTCTCCAAATTATTTTTGGAAATCGCGATCTTCATCATGATTTGAACTTGTCGATACATTTTCAATAAGTCGTAGTAATGGCTATGGGATAGCATAAACCCTCAAAGATAGTAAATAAGTCGTCTTGTACCTTGGGACCATTCAAAAGCGTGTGATTAAGCGATATCCTTGATGTAGTTTTGGCACTAGCATTGAAAACGACGTGTAGTTTTGTGGCAAGACTTGATTCTTTTAGCACGTGATGATGAAGCATATAATAATGAAAATTTATTTTATCTAGATTATCATCGGATATTCCTCCATGTGTCCAAATGATAAATATTTGGACATGAATTCTTTATATTGTTGATATACTCCAGGAGATTTTATTAGTTTTTTTTTTTTTTTTTTTTTTTTTTTTCCGGA